GATAAGGGGTTATCCCTATCCACTCAGAGAGTCCAGATCCAAATAAAGAATTGGATAAGGAAACTCCTAATTAGATTAGGCGGGCTGATCTTTATCTGCAGATAAGATAAGGGATTATCCTTATCTCTTAAAGAGAGTCCAAATCCAAATACAAGATTTGGATTAGGAAACTCCTAATGGGATTAGGAGATGCTCTCTTTAAAGTCTATAAATAGAGGAGCAGGGAGAACCTCCAAGATACACAATTCAGTTCAGAGGTTACAAAGAGAAAAACTGCAGTTCAACTGCTCCTGTTTTCTGCTCTCTCTCCTGCTCTTGCCGCCATACCAGTTCGATCTCCACTCTGGGAGCAATCAAGAAAGGGTTCTTGATATCACCTTTTAGCAGGAAAGGTGATCTGAAGTCGTGCTCACTCGCCCTCCATCAGATTCTTGCTGAAGAATCAAGTTCTTGCTGAAGAGCCATCCTGTTAATTCTGCTTCGTCCTGCACCGTGTCATCTTCGGTGGAAGCAGTCTTAGGATCTTTCCTTGGGCATGAACACCTTCATTGGAGGTTATTGCTACTTCGTATCAGGTATAACCCTCCACTCCCTTTTGGTTTCAGATCTGGTCCGGTTTAGGTTCAAGATTGATCCTTGAAAAATTCAATTTTCTAAAATAGGGAATGTGATTCCTACATGAGAGAGAAATTTTTGAAATTTCGCCCTACCTTCCTACAGGGTTCGGCTATCCATATGATGGATCTCTCATCCCTTCAGAGCTGTCTATAAATCCAGGCTCCCAACTTACCAGATTGCAGCCACTCAATCAGTTATCTGTTTTTCTCTTTATGAATTGAGAGATGAATCTCTCACCTCTTCTCAGGATGCTTGTATTGTATATATTGCTTCATTATAATAAATTTTAAAGCTACTTATCAAAAAAACATAATGCAAACTCAAACACTATATAAATGGGTCAGGTCAGCCCAAATCATTGACAACCCTAATTCCAAAACCAAAATTTTATTGTATAATACATGTAAAATATATGTAGGCCCATTGTGCCTGTTTCATTAGTTCTGTCCCAAACCCCATAGGCATGTGTAGCACCAATATAAACACTACAGCCCACTGATCAAAAAGTAAGCATTATAGTCCAAGTTCCATTAGACCAAATGATACAACCAAGATTTAAAGTAAATGTGCAGTATAAATTTGACATGATCACCTCAATAGTTAATGAGTGCTCTGAAATATCCACAACTTTTGCTCTGAAAATGTCCACTAGCCACATGATCTGAATATCAAAAACATCAAGGATAATCAGTACTTGAATGCAAAAAAAGAGAAACAAAACAACGTAAACAGATAAGCTCTCATTTGAAGTTGACAATACAATCTGCAAACAGTGAATAGGGTACTGCCCCTATAGGATACAACTTAGTAACAAGGTTTAAAATGTCGATGTCAACAGAAATGTCAGTCGTCCAAATATAAGAAACATTCAGAAATGTCAGAGATATCGTATGAAAATATTGTAAAAATTATAGACATGGTGGAAACATTATAAAATATGCAAAATATAGCAAGATAATTTATGAAATGATAAAAGAAGCATAGACATCCATTTTTAAATTATTATCTTGCTCCAAATCACTAAACAAAGCTAAGAAACTAAGGTTAATAGGTTATAGACAAAAGAATATGTTCTGAAGTTGCCCTATAAACCTTAAGATTTAGAGCTTCATGATAAAATGAGTTAAAGCAAAATTTAAACTCAGCGAAATTGTAAATGGTTGTAATAGATCAACCAAATAATCTATTACACAAACAAAAATTAATATTTAACTTCATGTTTGGAAATGAATATTGATCTAGCTCAAAGTGGTAATCATGCAATTTAGGTGGGAAATAACATTGCTACTCCACATATCTACAATATTTGTTTTGGTAATAAAATAAATTTTATTAAAAATGGAAAAAGAAAGAACAAGGATGGTGACCAAAAGTCACTCTAGAGAGAAAAGAAAAGGCAAACAAAAAACTCCCAAACAAGAAACCCAAACCAGCCAAACCTCAACAAAACCAGCAAAACCCAAAACCCAAGATGATCACCAAAAAACAAACCCACCACAACCAAAAGCCCAAGCACCTCAAAACAAACATAACCCCAAAGACAACACAAACAAAACACACATCAGCCCCCCAAATTAACAACAAAACTCTCTCAGCAAACCCTTGTCAAAATCACCCTCAAGGACTACATCCATTAAACACTAACCATTAAAAACTTCTTGAGGCTTTCTTGATCTTCAAGATCTTATTGTTTGGTCTAATCCTAAAGAGACTCCCTTTTAGTCTAGCAAAAGACTTTAAGACCAGAATATCTTGATGTTTTGTTTGTTTTTTAAGTCTTCTATTTGCTAAAAGCCTAAAACATTCTTCCTGAAATCCAACGAGCAAGAAGGGTTATGTTATCATTAATCCATTTCATTTTTTTCACTGTCAGCTTCTAGAGACCAAAATGTATTTAAATCAATGTGGCCTTCCTCAATCAGCAGTGAGTGCACCTCAAAATCTCTAGGATTCTCCAATACAGGCAACTCATAGCATTTCTCCAAATCTTGGAACATTTTCCTTGTAAAAGACTCACCTCCCAAAACAAACAGGCCTAGAGGCTAGAGATTCACCTATATCCACAGCCATGTCCACAACCTTAGTTATATCAACAGCTTTATTAATCTAATGAGTCTCATCTATACAAGCTTCTTCCTCACCATCCTCGTTCATGCTTCCATCCTCATCGGAAGATAGGACATCATCTGCACTCATTTGTCTTTTCAACTTCAGTCGCTATCAAAGATCTTGTTCTGTATGCATTCTCCTTGTTATACATTCTGGGCCCTGAGAAACATTGGCTTTCACTTCTGTTTCTTCCCCCTTCCTATAAACCTTTCTCTTCCCAGGAAACAGCATCAACCATACCAGAATTAAAGGCTTATTCTGCCCCTTCCTCTTGCCCCTTCTCCTCCATAGTAAAAGTCATGATCGAACAAGAGTTAAACCCCTCCACTATCCCCTCTCGGCCATTGTCAAAGATCTGCTCAAGAACCTAGATTGTCTCCACAAACAGTGATGGAAAATTCCCCCGTTGTCTCCTTTGGGATCTTAATCTCAACCTTCTTACCCTTATCAAACTCAGAAAACAAAAAAGAGTCAAGATGGCCTACCTCTGAATCAGTAATCTTGTTTACCAAGGCATTGTGACTAAAGGAGATACAATCCACAAGCTCTTTCTCCACCCCCTAAAAGCAGACCAGAGTCCTCTCTCTTCCCGGGATGAGACAAAGTGAGAGCAACCCCAAAATCTTCGTGAGCCCTTGGCTCTTCTCTTGTCTTCTCCAAACTCGTCAAGAATCTTTGATTTTCTTGGGCGGAAGCTTGCTGACTCTCAGAACAATCATCATTGTCATAGGAATATCTCATAACATAGCACACCTCTTCCAAAAACATTTATTGTCTTCCCAAGAATGTGTCTTCTTCCTACTTCAGTTGCCTCTAAATCTTCTAACCCTTTGCACGATTTGTTTCTACACTTTTTTTTTATAAATGAGAATAGTTTCATTAATTCAAAAAAATAGCAGTACATTCAGCCTAGGGAGAGGCACGAGGTGTTACCTCCCCCTAGGACTGAGTCATAAACACTAAACAAACACAAGCCTGAAGCACAGTTACAAAGTGGCCCAAAATAGATCTCCCCTTGACACCCCTTGCTTCACCAAAGAATCAGCTATTGTGTTTGTTGATCTGCTGACCCACTGAAACCCGACTGACATATTCCTTGTCAGCCATTTAACTTTCTTTAACAGATCCATATAGCCCCAACAAGCTGTCTCTGGACTTGTCAACCATCCCACTACTACCTTGGAATCCCCTTCTACTATCAAATTATTCACTCCAAGTTGACTGGCCATTTGTATACCTTGTACCACTGCTAGTATCTCTGCCCATACAGAATCAACAACACCCACTGGTCCAGAAAATAAAGACAACATGTTGCTATCTTTGTCTCTCAGAACCCCTCCTATTCCAGATGGCCTTGGGTTACCTTGGCAGCTACCGTCAAAATCCAGTTTTACCACTCCATCCGGTGGGGATTCCCATTCAGATTGTGATTTGTTCTTTGTGGAGACTGTAGAAGCCACTACTGCAAGGCAGTCGGAATAAACAACAGTTGTACTTCGGAGGGCAAAGTTCCACCTGCACCCAAATAGTGAAACAACCCAGTTCAAAATAATGGCAGCAAAAGAGCACGATATCAGAAAATGGTTACAATCCTCACCCTTCACTTTAAACAAGAAGCACCAAATTGGGGACAAACACAAGTAAGGTTTCTTCTTTTGCAAGTTTTCCACCATATTGATCTTACCCAAGTAGGCTTCCCAACAGAACACTACTATTTTAGGAGGAATTGGCCTTGACCAGTCTTTAATAGGGAAAACCTGAGAGGAGGGGTTGGAGCAGAGGGCTTTAAAGAAAGAAGCACAAGTGAAGGAACCAACCGGGGTTAGAGACCAAACCCTTTTATCCGGGGGTCTAGGCACACTGAGTCTAGAAGCAACAAGAGCTCTGAAACACAAAGAAGTTCTTCATCCCTTAACCCTCTTCGAAACCCAAAACTCCAGTTTAAATCCAAAGGGCGAACCAGGGGGGAAAGAAACCATGAAATTGGTTTTTTTTTAAGAGGGAGATGGAATAGAGAGAAGGAAAGCGGTCTTTTAGGGGTTGAGTGCTCACCCAAATATCTTTCCAAAAAAGAACGGAGTTTCTAGAACAAGCATCATACCTTACAAATCTGAGGAACTTTGGGAGAATGCCATAAATAGCCTTCCAAGGTGTTGTGAGCGAAGCCCTTCAGGATACCCCCGCCTCCCAACCTGATTCAAAACAGCCATGGATACTCTTCACTACTTCATGCAACAACCTCTCCCTCTCCAAGGGCCACCTCCAAAGCCACTTACCTAAAAAAGCTTCATTCTTACCACATTCCCTAAGCCTAGGCCTCCTTCATTTTTGCTTCTACTCACCACCTCCCACCTAATCAAGTGATCTTTTTTCTCTTCCCCAGGTTCCCATAGGAAGTCCCTCATCAGTTTTTCCAACCTCTTTGCCTCCCTTTTAGGAATTCTAAAGACTAACAGGAAGTATAAATGCAAGTTGGCTAAAGTTGCTTTAATCAAAGTAACTCTACCCTCTAGGGAAATATAGTGTCTCTTCCAAGCTGTCAATCTTTTTTCGAACCTTTCCACCATCGGGTTCCAGAACCTACTTTCCTTTGGATTTGCGCCTAAGGGAAGTCCTAGGTAGGATAGAGGCCACTAAGACCATGTGTAATCTAACGAGGCTGCTATAGACTCCATCTCTTCTCTATTCAAATTTATTCCCACAACACAACTTTTCTCAAAATTTATCTTCAAATTTGAGGCCCTCTCAAAGTGAACTATCAAATCCTTCAGATTTCTTACCTCCACCAGATCACAACATTCACAAAAGATTATTATGTCGTCTGCAAATTGAAGATGGGTTACTGAAACTCTATCTCTACCTATTCTCCACCCTCTTAAGGATCCGGCCCTATCCGCTTCTGAGAGAAGTCTACTAAAAGCATCAGCGACTAAAGTGAATAGCAAAGATGACATGGGATCACCTTGTCTCAAACCCCTGCTAGCTGGGAAGAAACCGTTAACTACCCCATTGACTAGGATGGAGTAATGGCAAGAGGAAAAGGCAACTGTTTATCCATTTGTACCATCTATCCCCAAACCCACACTTCCTTAACACGAGTAATAAGACTCCCCAATCCACTAGGTCGTAAGCCTTTTCAAGATCTAGTTTACAAACATAACCTTTACGACCCGCTCTCCTCATCTCCTTCGCACATTCATTTGCTATTAGGATCTGATCTACTATTTGTCTCCCTTGGACAAAAGCTCCTTGGGCTTGGCTGATAAGACAAGGAAGCACCTCTTTAATCCTCAAAGATAAGACCTTAGCCACTATCTTGTATACACTAGTCACCAGACTAATAGGTCAAAAGTCCTTTGGATGCTTGGCCTCTTTCTTCTTGGGAATTAAGGCTAAAAAAGTAGCGTTAACTCCACAACTAATCACTAAATTATCCTCGAATTCCTTGAAGACCTCAATCAAGTCTTCCTTGATTATGTCCCAACAATCTTGAAAGAAAGCCATTGTGAAACCGTCCAACCCTGGTGCTTTAGATCTGTTCATGGAGAAGAC